GGGGGCAATATGCTGACTCTGTAAACCGCTTAGAGAGGGCTGAAAGCCCTATGAAGCAGTATATAAGTCTAACTGCTATTGCTAACTGCTATTTAATTAATTATATTAAATTACTGGTTTATTTAACATTAAAAAATATTAAATAAACTATTAAATTTGAATTTATGTACAGTATTTGATTGAAACCTTCAACTTGATTCTTCTACAGGTTTTGTTTTGTTCGGGTTGTACAGCAAACCCTAGATCAGTTTTTAAACTCTGTAAAATTTATATCAATTCCTGTTATGTCTGTGAAGATTCTCAATCATCTAGATCAGGGGTAGTCAACCTTTTTATACATACCGCCCACTTTTGTATCTGTTAGTGGTAAAATTTTCTAACCGCTCACTGGTTCTACAGTAATGGTGATTTTATGAAAACCTAATGAAAATTTTTAAATAATGCTATGAATTTTTTTTTAAGTCAATTAAATTTAAAAAAAGGAAAGTACTTCAGTATCGGACAAAAGGTGCTTTTCAAAAGGCAACTGGACTTGGTTTTTTCCCTCCCTTGAAAATGTTTCCCTTCTCATCCAAGGAGCTTCTTCAGTTCTGAACTGAATGGTGGGGAATTGAAAGATTTGTATTCTTTGCAGTTATCTGGTTAATTATCTGAGAGTCGTTGAGGCCACCTGGAGGTTTATCAGTTCTCTCAGGATCAACAGAATCAGACTGTAAATGAGCATGGAACCTTCTTGGGGCTGCTGATAGGACTGTGCTACAGATAGAAGGTATTGTACTCCCCTCCCTCTGTGGAGAGAGGCCTGTTCAATTTTAATGCAGATGGCCTGACCACTCTTTCAAGTCAGTGGTCCTCTCTGTCCAGAATGTGGGCCTTGCTGTCCTTCAAAAGAGTAACCATTGTCTTTCAAATGCAGATGGACTGCTGAATCTTGTCCTGATGGGTTTGTTTTCCTATGCTGTGCCATGCATTTGTGAAGTGGGTGTTTTGCTTCCCCAATGTTTAGATCTGCACATCTCACTGCATTATACTGCGTATACCACATTGTTCAGCTTGTATCTAGAAATGTTTTATCTTCAGGGTGGACAAACGTTTGCCTTAATGTATTCTTGTGTTTAAAGTGTGCACGTATATTGTGTTAGTACTCCTTCATTGGATTCCTTCATAGGAATTCCACTCACTGGCATAGGTATGTGAACGATACTTGGGTCAAGAGTAAAACATAGGAAGTGGAAGCTTTTACCAAACACATCAACTCTGTGGAGAGGTATATTAAGTTCGTGACCCAACAAATGCGCGCACGACAAAACCGTGGTGCTAAAACCACGGCGCTAAAACCGCAACATCATCAACATGACGTCATCAATGCGGCAACAACAGCGCGCCGACAGAAGCGTGATTTAAGTTAAGGTAAGGGTTAGGTTTAGGTTTACAGCGTGCTTCTATCGGCACGCTTCAGCGCTCATTTGTCGGCGTGATTTAGAACTCGCAGTTTTGTCACCGCGGTTTAGTCAGGCGCGCTTTTGTCGTTCGCCTTTTTGTCAGTGAACCTATTAAGTTCACATGGGAAGATGTTAAGAAAAATAGTCAGCTTTCCTGGACTTAGCAGTAATATTAAGGAAGACAGACATTTCAACACCGAACTATACAGAAGGCCCCCACCCAGAGATCAGTATTATATTTTGATTCTCACCACCCATTGGAGTACAAAATGGGAGTGATCAGAACCCTACATCACCAGGCTGAAGGATTGCCTATGAGTAAAGGGGGAACAGAAAAAGAACTGAAACAGATCAAGGAACCTCTCAGAACTTAAGCTTTCATCAAATCTAGAAAAAGATTCAGCAGGAGTTCCTCCATAACAAAGAAAAGAACACCAAACAAAGCAACATTGTCATTCCATACTTCACGGAAATATCTGAAAAGGTCAGGGGGATTTTCAACCCGTGGCACGACATAACCGCGAACGTCAAAAGCGCGCCGAGAAAACCGCGGCGCTAAAACTGCGATGTCAAAAGCGTGCCGACTACAGCACGCCGACAGAAGCGCGATTTAAGTTAAGGTAAGGTTTAGGGTTAGGTTTAGGGTTATGTTACAGCGCGCTTCTGTTGGCGCGCTTCAGCGCTCATTCGTCTCCGCGGTTTTGACGGCGCGGTTTTGTCACCGCAGTTTAGTCACACGCGCTTTTGTCGTACGCGCATTTGTGGTGGAACCTTTTCAACCAACCCAGCATAATGTGAGAATGAAGTCAGAACTGAAGAAGCTTTTTGGATGAGAAGTGAAACATTTTCAAGGAAAAAAAAAATCAAGAAAGCCCAATTGTGTTTTGAAAAGCATCTTTGGGTTATTTCTTGGCGCTATAAAAATTTAAGAATCATTTGTGGAGTGTGAAAAGACTAATCAAGATTCCAAAAAATGAGAAGGAAGCATAAATTATCAGGAAAATGCTAATGAGAAGATTTTAGACTAGTGCTAAATATACATACCTTTTTTGTTGCTCTCGTGTTTTTTAAATGAGTTTTCAGCATTCGAGGGAGGTTTTTCATCTAGATGAATTGCCTCCATGACCAACTATTTGAAAGGAAACAAACAATAACAGAGAATGAAGTATTCTCAAAGAAATGACTGAGGCTTCCTAGGAGTTAACAGAATCACATAAATCTACTTTTTTCCTGCTTCCCCCCATAATAAGTCTGGAAAATGGGTGTGGCATATGTAGGTCGCGGGACTTTGACGTTGATGTTCTTTTTATCCCACCTTTATTACTTTATAAAACTCAATGAGGCGAACATATGTGATGCTCCTTCCTCCTATTTTCCTCACAAAACAACCTCATGAGGTAAATTGAACTGAGAGAGGGACTGTCGCAAAGCCACCCAGCCTTTTACTCCAAAGGCAAGACTCAAACTCAGGTCTACTGGTTTCTAGTCTGATGCCTTCACCACTAGAACCAAACATGCTTATTTTGTGTAATATAATTTAATCCTGGATACTTGGGAAGTCCTTAGGGGCTTAGTGAGGCAGTACTAATAAAGCAGTAGGTGGCTTTATTTAAAACTGAACTGCACTCAAAAAAAGAACATCAATACATTGGATCATCTTTTAGTAGTACATAATAAGATCAGAATGCTGCATTAAAAAACAAAACACATTTTTTTCTGGTAATGCAAAATTCCTGATCTGATTTTTGAGAAACCAGATTATCCTTTTTCCATGGAAGTGTACTACAAAGGCGATTATTTCCCATAATACTCAGCCAGACACATGACACCCAGAACAAAGACATTCTCGGGTTTTGGTGTAAAAAAAGAGCGGAATATTCTACGATGGGAGAAAGAAGCGTTGTTTAAGGGGAGCCAGAAAGCCCCAGACCCCAATTTACAGGCCCCGCACAATAATTTTCCATCCGAGAAGGAAAGGCTGTCATCGTTTTCAACTCCTTACTGGGCTCTTTTCCTCCTTGTCCTTCTCGTCCTCTAAAACACGCGTGACTCCTGGGCTTAGTGGCTCCAAAGTGGGCTGTCCAACAGTCACGACCCAGCCGATTTCCCCTGCAGGATCCCGCATCTCTCGCGGCGTGTTTTTGCTTCGTTTTTCTCTTTACCGCCAACAACCCCCCGTGTCGAAATGCGAGCCGCCCTTTCGGAGGACTCCCGGTTCCCCCATTTGTACCTAGCGCCAAGCGGCGCGGTTGGCCGGAGAAAAAAAGGGGGGGAAAAAGAGGCCGGACCGTGTGGACGAGACCGGGAGGAGAGGATACACGTGACAAGGGGCAAGTGCTGGGCTGGCTGAACTGGTGCTGTCACTCAGACGACGTCTTGGGAGAGGCGGGAAGTTGCTTCACATGCAGTTGATGGCGATAGGGGAGAGGAGAAATGGAAGCCGCGTCCCTTTCCTTCCGCTGGGTTAAGGGCGGGATAGAGAGGAGGAGGAGGAGGAGGGCGGCGGTTTCCTTTTTTTTGTCTCAATATTTTAACATCTGACCTGTGCAGAAGAAATGCACTGATGGAGAATATGTGTGTGTGTTGTGTGTGTGTAACAGGGTTGTTTTTTTTTAATGGTAAAGAGTTGAGGCATTTAAAGCAGCGTTCTTGGACTGAGTTGGTGGACCGAGCGAAAGGAGGTGGGAGGCTGGATGTTTCTATTCTTAATTAGAATTCCTGGACGTTAAAATCATCTACATTCAATTGAAAATGTCTCGGTCATTACAAAAAAAATGGACGGGCCTGGAAGCAGCAATAGCAAGTAGACTTATATACCCCTTCACATTGCTTTACAGCCCTCTCTTAACGGTTTACAGAGTCAGCATATTGCCCCCAACAAATAGCGTGTTTATTTCTAGAATGAGTTCACATATAGGCTTATTGGGGATATTTTTTTCATTTTTTTTTCCATTTTATTAAGCATTTATAGGCTGCCCTTTTCCCTGAGGGGACTCAGGGCGGCTTACAATAATAGGGGAAGGGAGTGCGGGACAAAA